CGGCGATCGTCGGTGCTGGTGTATCCCGTTCGACGATCGGCGTAAGAGAGCGACCCCGTCGCAGCCGGCCGGTGCTTGTCCAGCGCGACTTGTTTTCCCGTCCCACCTAGCCTTTGCGGCGTGGAGCGAGAGTCGACGGTGTCGCGTCGTAGTCACCCGTGGTGGTGGTTGATAAAGTCGTAGACCGGACGCGGCGGTGCCTGTACTTTGTACTGGCTGCTGCCGCGTACCGTGTCAATAGAAAATGCTAATATAAATATTCAGTGAACGTTTCAAGTGTTAATAGTTATTAATTTTCGAGTTACACCAAAAAATAAAATTAATTTTTTCAAAAGTTGGATTTGAGTAAAAATAACCATTTTATTCTAAAACTACAGGGAATTTTCAATTTAGACCCTCTTGAATGTACCAACTCTACACTTCACTTTTTAAAATGATGCTGAGTTCGTAATCGGGGCATTATTACTAACAAAGAGCCTGACGACAGAGAATACAAGAAAACAGGACCTCGTGAATCGACAGAATACCAGGCACTCACCCAGGAGTAAGGTAAATGCTAATTTATAAAAAACGATAATTTTATGTAAATTAAAGTAAATTAGCACATACCAGGTTAAAATAACCTACAATAGGTGTCTTGATCATACCGGTTCCTAATAGTTTTATTCCAATTTTAATATTAAGGGCTTATCTAATCTAAGGTTAAAAATGTTGAAAAATTTGGGAAATTTTAGTGTAATTCCTACAGAGCTAAACGTGGTTATAGATTGGAAAGTATAGTTCAGCCTGAACTGCGTTAATCTCATATCTAGTGTACTTTAATCACGTAAATAATGGTAATTATAATTTAATAATTACAATGGGCAGTAAATGCATTAGTAAATTAAATATTTTTGAGATTATCCGGGAGTTGTAGAAGCGTGGCATTGAGACTGGGGAGTCTAAGGTTGATAAACTCTTAATTATTGAGGAGTATATGGCCCCAGAATCATTACGGTTTGAGGTAACTGGAAAGTCGTCAGTCCAGGTACTGAAAGGGAAAACATCGAGGGTTCCAATTGAAGGGGATGAGGTCAACTCCAAAAAAAGTTTCATATATCAGTTCATGGAGCAGATGTTAGATAGGCTGGAGGGGTTGGAATCAACGGTCGACAAGCAGCAACTGACAATCGCTACTCTCAGTGAGAGCGTGTAACGCTTGGAACGAGAGTTAGCCTAAGAAAAGCTCAGGTCGACCGAACGGGTGGAGCAAGCAAGTTGCTCATGCCATGGGAATTTGCCAAACTATCCACCAATGATATATCCAGAGCAAATCCAATTTACCAGGACGAAAGTCAAAATTTTCGGGACAAAACTAAATTGGTGAGTTTCGAAAGCCGATGGGCTAACGTACGGAGCAGATTAAAGTAACCGGTGAAATGTCCAGCGCGTGTCTTAGGTAATCTGTCCGGAGTGTGCGGCAGAAGTCATAAAGAAGCGTTATGGAGTAGTTTTTTCGGTGTTAAAAGTGTGCATTTCTCGGACATCCTGCTCATTCCCCAAAATGAGATGAATATGGCCCGTACGTTGATACCAGTGTTTGCCGGAAAGAGGGAGGAAGACCCAGTGCGGTGTTTGCTCCAGACCGAAGTAATACTTGAAGAAACCGGTATCCATGTGGCAGATGGGTGATTGTTTTGGCCCCTGTTTTGGCCGCATAAGCAGGAGCATGGTGGGGAGACATAAGAGCGTTGGACTTACCATTGCAATAGTTTAAATACGAACTATTAGAAAAGTTTAACAGAAACGAGTTGCAGTCGAGTCTGGAATCAGAATTATTGAGCATAGAGCAGACCAAGACTGAAACACTGGGGGAGTACGTCCTACACAAGTAATAGTTGTATCGAAAGTTAAACCTTGGTCTGACAGAAGCAGCAGTAGTACTAACGGTGATTGGACTCATGCGAGATGAATTTAGAATTCAGCTACTGAAATCGGTCAGTGAATTACGTGCGCTTGCACATTTTCTGGATGGTAGCAAGACTGTAATATCGGAAAGGCGGGTGTGAGCACCAGCGGACCACCAATATTGAAATGGTCGGATAAAAGAAAATCTGAGATGGCTGGGAAATCCCAGGTGCCGAATCCGAAACAACTAGTCTTTGACAGCACGATGCAGGGTATGTGGTAGTTATGAATACTAGCAAGCTGCATGTCCGAAAATAAAGTAGTAGTCGGGAAACACCAAAACGACCGGCGGAACCTTTGGGTCTTGGCCGGCCAAGAAGTAACCGGCAGAAAAGTCACGAGTCGTCTGAAGAATGGTAAGCAACGGAGTCCAACTATTGCAGAAAGTAACGTTCAGGTACTGGAACCACAAATTACAAGAACTGACCCGAAGAAACGGACCGAAGACTCAGGAAACGGTCCAAATAAATCGGGCCAGAAGAGTTCTGTACCAGTGAATCCCGGTAAGAATAGAAATAATCCGGAGAAAAACTTTGGTCAACCAAAGATAACCTACGGAGTGAGGAGTTGTAAAGTGAAAACCGTCGAACCTCCGGAGAAACAAGGTTGAAATCGCCAAAGCCACCCTAGAAAATCCAGTGGAAACGACGTTCAGGTAAAGGGATCACTGTTTGTCACAATGAACCGAGTAAATGGTTCGGTGGTGGAAAGGTTATCCGACCACCTAGACAACAAGCAAGGAAAATGAATAATGAATAAAAGCTGTAAATGTTCCAGACAAAAAGAAAAATTTACCGAGGTGAGTTATCTTTCCTAGGAAAATGTCGTGGGCAGCGATTCCAGTAATGCGGAACAAGATAAGTTAACACAGCAGTTGTTAATTTGTCAGGTCTCATCCGAAGATTTTCCCAAGTAGTTAATTCCTTATCCAAGGGAAAATGCAAGAGGAGAGACTCAGATACTGACTCAAAGTTTTAGTTGCGACAACATTTTTCGGATCTGTGGACCAGAACGTTGGAGTCTCCAGCCATTTCAACGGTGTCAAAGGAGAAAACGAAGGCAAGAGATGTTCCGTTGCCAGCCATAGAACTAGAGTTTGCACTCTGGGCAGCAGTAGCGCTAATGTACTCTCAAGCGGCGAGGACATACGTCAAACCATGGGTGGCAAAGAAGTTTGGCCAGAGTTTTTCCGAAGAACCGGAGATTGTCCGAATGGCGGATGGTCGAACCCGAGAAATTACGGAGTTTTCCGAATTTCGGACCCGAATAGTGGATCTGGAGGTAAGCTTCAGGGCCACAGTCTTAGACGATCTCATCGGGGATTTCTTCCTGGGCCATGATTTCCTCGTGGAGCAACAAGTCGCTTGGGACTACAGCGGTTGCATAATCCACCTGGGGAAAGAAAGACGTGTTTCCGTAAGTTGGAGAAATCAAAGTAACTCAGGTCACTGTAGGAGTGTACTTATCAACCGCAGGTCTATGTGAAGGAGAGTACGGTATATGGGTCAAGCAAGTCCTACGCTAATATCCGGAGGTTTTCTAAGGAGAGGTAGGTAGAACTCAGGTAATAGAGAACTGGAAATGGCGTTGGTCAGAAATTTAAAAAGAGAAGTTCTGGAAGTTGAAAGAGTCTTTGGTGTCCGCCCCACGGCTCTGTCATTTTCTTCCAGGTAAGCCATTCACTCTACAGACCAACACAAGCGAAGTCGAAGTTGATGCGTGTTCTTCCAACGGGGGGAGAGAGTGACTAAAATCGTCTCCTAAAACTCAATCTAGCTCTAGAAAGATACTTGGCAGTCAAACGTGAATGTCTAGCCATAGTTTGGGCAGTTGACAGGTTCAGGCCATACCTGGAGTCCGGGAAGTTAATGTTGTTTACAGATAAAGCGGAACTCCGATGATTACAGCAAGCTCGCTGTACCAACAACAAACTAACGCGATGAGCGCTACAACTCGGGGCTTTCGATTTCGAAATGCGGCACGTACCCCGAGTAGAAAATGAAGCAGCCAACGAGCTATCTCGTTGTCTGGCGGGACCGAATACAGTGCACGAAGAGTCGTTAGAGAATTATATCCACGATCACCCGGTGATTCAGCCTGAAGTGTCCGGAGAAACGTCCGTAATCTTCAGTGATATGTCCGGAGTGTCCGGTTTGGGTGTCACCCAGTGTGGAGCGATCCAGCCAAAGAGGGACCACGGAAACGTATCATTTCAAGACGTCCGAGAGTGGCAATAGAACGACCCGAACATACGGGAGATAGTTGTTAAACTCTCCGGAGACAGGCAAGATTCGGTCGTCTCCAGACGTTGTACGTCATCCGGGCCAAGGTGTTACACCGCCACCCACTATCCATCGCGCATGGAGAAGAGGGGGCGGTCGTCCCGGCGGACAAGGCCCAGATTCTGCTACAAAGGTTTCCCGATCACGAAGCAGCCAACTACCCAGGGTGGAAAGAAAGGTACCGAAGCATAAAGAGTCGTTTTTTTTGGGCCAGTATGCAAGAAGCAGTGCGTAACTACGTACTGGCATGCTACGTCAGTGCATGTGTAACCAATGAATCGCAAACCAAAAGATTGGATGTGCACCCGAGTCCCACGTCAATCGTCGGAAGTGCTGAGCATCGATCTTATGGGTCCGTAACCGCGGACCCAGAAGGATAAGAAAACGATTCTGGTAGTAACTGATTGTTACAGTTGCTGGGTAGAAGATTAGCCCTCAGGAAAGGCGACCATCAAATCGATTGCGGACACATTCGAACAGGAGTTGTTCCTACGGTTCGAATACCCGAGGGCATTACTGTCGGATAATGGTCCTCAATTCGAGTCCCAGGCAATGGGAGATGCACCCAGGAGGTGGTGAGTGGAAGGATGGACAATTCCAATATACCACCCACGTGCCAACCCGGTAGAAAGGCGAAATCAAGAGTTGAAGAAAGGGTTATGAACCTTACTCGTTGATAAGCCTCATCATCTGTGGGATGTCTACCTGCTACACTTGCTGTTCTCCGTGAGAAGCAGAGAAAACCGAAACACCGGACAGTCGCCAGTCAAAATGATGTTTGGCCCGGAGATTGACAGCTCAGGTTAGTTGAAGAATTTCGGGACACGGACAAAGTTAATCCGGAGTTCTTCGGGGCAGATCGGAACCCTTCGGTGGAAATCGATGATTCCCCAGTGAAATCGGATGATGCTCCGGTGGATGGAAGGGGTCACCCAGTGGTGTCCAGCTCCAAAGCCACCAATACACATACACTCTCAGAATCTCTGGGAAGAACACGTCTGTTAGTAGGGGATTGGGTGTATTACAAAGCGCATCCGCAGTCAAGTGCTGAGAGGTGGTTTCACGCGGGGTTCGCCCCGAAATGGTTAGGTCCGGTTAAGTTGGGTACCACTAAGAACCGGTTAGTTATACGTTTATAAATGTTTAGTTAAATATTCAAATGTCCATTGTTCCTACTTTTTGAGCCAAGTATCACTGATAAGTGATTTCCATCTTTCATCTCTCTAAACTACAAATTATACCATCATACCTTCGTTTAGTAACACCAATTGTATAACAGATAGTAGTTTTCAAAATGAAAATATAAAAATTAATTATTTGAAAACTAGTTTCGAAAACATTTTCGCTCTTTTTTTGAAATTTTAGAGATATTTTTATTTTAACAACCAACAAAAAATAGATAAAATTTTCTGTTAAGAATCACAATAATTTTGACAAATAACAATATTCATATTAGAAGTATTTTTACTGTTTCAAAACACGAAATAAATAATAAAATATTATTGTTACTGTTCGAACGCGGCTGATTTTCCCGCCGAATCGTACACATCGCCAAAGGCTTTACAAGTCTCCGCGATCGATGTGGAGTGTCCGCGATAGGTCATCCCCCCTCTACGCACCCACAGCCGGCGATGTCCACTCCAACCTTCGTTCGTCAGCTTGCGGCTGTCTTTTGCCAACGGCCGAACCTGGTGTGTCCAGTTTGCTCGCCCATTCGCACGTTTTTTCCTTTTGTCAACCGCGTGGTCAACCGACCTTATTTCTGGTCGTTTGTGTAATTGTCCTTTTTTTCCATTTTACGTTGTGTACGCGACAATCGTCGCAAGTCCCTAGACAGTCGGGGCTTGACGTGAGCGTCACATTCCGTCACTTAGTATCTATGATCAATTTATTGTGGCATAGGCATTATAATTCCATACGTGCCACCACGGTCGCCTTACCAGCCCAGACTACAGCGTGGCTGTAGCAGACAGCAGTACAGATCATGCCTTTTTTTTTGGTCTCATTTATTATTTTTTTTTTTTTGAATTGATCCTGAGCCCGGCACCTGTGGCCATTAGCTATTAGTAGGTACTGTAGGTTTTTGTATTGATGGTTTGTAGGTTTTTGGAACGGTAGGGGGAACACGTGTGTGTTTGTTTTGGCAGAATTTCGAATGGGGCACCCGTAGGTTTCTGCCATTCCCCGGGGGTGGGGGATGGCAGCACTTGCTCTCCGGTCACCGCGACTTGTCCGGAGAAAAATGCCGCCCGGTGGCCGAGGATCGAACCGCGACCGGCTGCGTCGCAGCGGAAGAGTCAGACCACTCGGTCACCTCGTCCCCCCATTTATTATTGTAATTATATATTTTATATTGTATATATTCAGACGAATAAGTTTTGATTTATAATTATTAAGAGTAATACGGGCCCGCACATTATTATTATTATTATTATTGTCATTGTTATATACGCTGTGTTGCGATTAATATATTATGTCTGGCGCCCGGCGTCCGTTTATTGTATTATAATTTGTACTTTGTATATTAATATTTCACACCATGAGTAACCTATACCTTCCAACAGTGGCGTATTTAGGGGGGGTGTCCTGGGGGTTAACCCCCCCCCCCCACCCCAATTTTTTTCTTAGTTATATTCATTACTGAAGTATCACAAAATACGAATAACGAAATATTTTAAAACTGCTTTGAAAAATGAAAATTGAATAATGTATATTTTATATTTTCATCTTATACCAGATAATAGTCAATAAATATTAGCATTGATTATATATATTGCGTATATATATATATATATATATATATATAGCTCTCTAGGTGCAACCGTGCAGGCAGTGGCGAAATAACTAAAATAGTCACAACATTGTAATTTGTAGTGTAGCACGACGATTGTAGTCGGACCGGTCGCAACTGGTAACCAAAAATAAAACAGAATATTGTGAACTATGTAATTCTTAGAATTGTATTATCGTTTCAGCTAGCCGTATTATTGGCTATCGCCTTATTATCTTTCTTCAAATACAACAATTATTATTATCTACGATAACAAAAGATCAACGATATAAAGTGTGCTGTGTACAGTTGACATTTGTACACTCGCAATACAACAATATTATTTTTTGCTGAACTGCTGCCGACTGTTGACATCGTAAATACATCATATTTACGTAAGTACAACATTATTGTAATTTATTTTTATAGCTTTTAAGCCTTTAAGGACTCGTACGAAACTATGAACTATACCTAATATGTAAAAACAATAGTTTAATTAATTTAATAAAAAATTAAAGAGTATTTAATAGTGTTATTGTACTTTTAAAACAGTGAAAATGGCACAAAAGAAACAAACTTCTATTTCGTATTTTATGAAAATATCGAACTGTCGTAGTCAACCCGATTCTAAGCAGGACATATCCTCATGCATTACGTCTGAATTAGAAGATACGTCACGTCCATCATCACCCCCCTCCAAAAAGCGAGCACATTCTTCTATGATTTCTTCAATAAAAAATACAGATGATTCAACCCCAATATCAGATCTCGTCTCAAAATCTATTGTTTCTGATTCTACTAATTTTATGAATGTATGTGATATAGGATTTTATATAAACCGTACATTATCACAAAATGAAATATCTGATATTATGAATAATCTATGGGTGCCAGATATCAACTACAAATTTCCAATAAAAATGAATATGAAAAAAAACAAGCAAGTAAATTTAAAGTTTCAATATTCGTGGCTTCTGAAGTATCCATGGCTATGTTATTCTGAAAAATAATGCGGCGCTTTTTGTAAATTTTGTGTAGCATTCGTTAAGTCTGGTGTTGGATATAACTCAAAAAAGCCAAATTCTTTTGTAGTGACTAAATTCGATAACTGGAGAAAAGCACTGGAAGGATTTCAAACCATAGTGAAACAAATTATCACAAAACCTGTTTATCCGATTCTGGACATTTTCTTAAAGTACAAAATAATATTAATGAAGACATATCAGTAAAACTAGACTCCAGTAGAAAGAATCAAATAATGAAAAATCGCGAACTTTTAACTCCGATAATCGAAGCAATCATTTTATGTGGCAGGCAGAATACAGCAATTAGAGGACACAGAGATTCCGGTAAATTAATGATCGACCAAACTGATGACGAATATGAAAATAATGAAGGGAATTTTCGGGAAATTTTAAGGTATAAGGCTCGAGGTGATGAGTAGCTTAAATTATTTTTAGAAAGTAATGGATATTTAAAATACACAAGTGCGACGATTCAAAACGAAATCATCGAATCGTGTAACCAAATTTTATTGAAACAAATTGTGAGTAGAGTGAACTCTGCTCAATGTTTTTCAATACTCGCCGATGAAACAGCTGACATTGCGAACATCGAACAAGAAGCATTGTGTGCAAAATACCTCGATAAAAAAAATATGATATTAAAAGAAGAGTTTATTCAATTTATACATACGTTTGATACGACCGGAAAAGGTTTAGTATCATTAATATTAGAAAGCTTGCACAATTTTGGTATAGAAACAAAGTACATGCGAGGACAAGGTTATGACGGCGCGGCTGCAATGTCAGGAGAATTTAACGGCGTTCAAGCAATAATTCGTAAGACTCATCCTCTTGCTCTTTATGTGCATTGTTCCGCACATGTCCTTAACTTAGCTGTTTCAAACTCCTGCAAAGTACAGGAAATAAGAAATTGTTTGTGGACCATTTCTAAAGCTCAGGATTTTTTCAATTTTCCTAAAAGAAAAAAATGTTTTAAAAACTCAAATTGAAAATAGTGATGAAAAAATCTCAAAAAAATCATTAAAACGTCTTTGCGCTACCCGATGGATTGAACGTTACCATGCAGTGAATGATTTTGAAGAGTTATTTGAACAAGTGATAGAATCATTAAACTTTATATCTGAGTGGAAAGATGTTGAGACTTCTTCGCATGCCAGTAATCTGTGTAGTGCTATATTAGAAGGTGGATTTATTATTTCTATGCTTATAGTAGCTAAATGCTTTAGTGTTGGTCTTCCTTTATCGAAACATCTTCAGCGGGTTAATATTGACCTTGGCGAAGCGATCCAATTAGCGGAGGATACAATAAAAGAACTTGAAGATTTTCGAAAAAATGCTGATTCTATTTTCCAAGACATTTTTGAAAATGCTGTTTCTCTTGGTAATAAATTTGGTGTTACTATAAGTATCCCTAGAACTACGAAAAGACAAGCAAACCGTGTAAATGTTGAAACTGATTCAATAGAAGTATATTATAGAATCGCTATACTTATACCTTATATTGAAACATTTATTGAGCAATTGAAAGTTCGATTTGCCAGCCATAAAGCTATTTTAGTTCATTTTAATTCACTCATAAGTCTTAATACGGATGAAAACAATTTTTGTCATTAACTGAAACATACATGGAAGATCTTTCTTCGTCCTCCAAGACAGTATTATTATCGGAGTATAATTTGTGGTAAAGACGACTGAGAAATTTAGAAACTTCTAACTATAGAAACGCAATGGAAGCTTTGTCTATATATAATCCAGAAATATATCCAAATATATTTAAATTGTTAACAATTTTTGAGACACTGCCAGTTTCAACTGCACAGAACGAAAGATCATTTTCATCACTTAAAAAGATAAAGACTTATTTACGTAATACTATGGGCCAAGTAAGTTTATTTTTTTTTCGACTAAGTCTAAATCATAATTATAAAATGAAATAAATAAATAATTGTTTTATTTAGAAAAGGCTAAATGGATTAGCCATGTTATCAATCAATCGGAAGGATCGCATTGAAAGTAAGCAAGTATTGGACGAATTTGCTGTAAAAAAAGACGTCTACCTTTAATACTGTGAGGTTAAAGTATTGAAATTTTAGTGTTTTTTTTTCTTTTAATATATCTATTATATTATATAAGTATACAAAATAAATTAAACTAAATAATTAATTAAACTCATACGAAAAAATACTCAGTAAATTTAAGTGTTAGATTGGTTTTATTTTATTCAGTAAAATTGTTTAACTTTATTCCTGTCATAATTGTATTATAATTAAAAATGTAAGTAGCAATCCTATAATTTTTTTACAAAAAATGTCCACTTATATAAGGTATTAAGGTGTATTATAATCAGGTATGAATTAGTGATGAAACTATGTTAATATTTGACATTATATAACTGTGGAGATCAGGAGTCAGAACACTCCCCAAAAAAAAACCCAAAATACGCCACTGCCTACCAACACCCCGCAAGTCGCGGCCGACAACCGCCGCCCTTGTAGGAACGGTCGCAGCGCAACAGTTACAGATATTTCCTCACTTATATTATATTATATCAAAAGTAAATAAATAGTACGTACTTGATTGTAATGTTTCTATTAGCGATTCTGTAAACGATAATGTTTAATTAATTTTATAACTACCTACATGTAAATAATATTTTTAATAAATTATAACATATTAAATTCATAAATACGTAAATTATGATTAAAGTAAGAATTCTAGAAAAAATCTTTCTAATTATTGTCTTTTTTTCAACTTAAAGGTTCTTTTATGACTACAGTCCCCAAATTAGACCGACTTCTCACCTTTTCTCCAAGCTCCTCAGAAGTATTGACGGTTGAACCACATTTAATTCGTTCGATATAGGATTTTCGAGAACGTCCTGCAGGTATATTCCTTTCAATCATACACTCTAATCATAAGTGCAGCCAGGAATTTCGTTAGGTCGGTGCATCGAGCACAGTATACGATGATTTCTAAATAATTCTTCAATTATTTAAATTATTCTACTTGCTCTAGCTTTTTACAATGTATGTATACAGCTTTTATTGGTTGGTTTCTAATGCAGGCTAGAATCTTCGTATTTGCTATTTTATATTTTATTTCTGATCTACTGAGCATTTCATTCATTTCATTAACTGCAATCTGTATGTCACCATTAATCTTTGCCATCGCCATAATATCATCCGTGAACGGTATAGTTAAGATAGTTTTTATGACTATTTAAATTCCAATATTTAGTCTAATTAGCTTTGTTTCACTAAATTTAACTTTTGCAATGTAGCAATTAATAAGTGAGGGTGATATCGTACAACCTTGCCGGACTTTTATTTTCATTACCCGTAATTCCTCATTTTATAATTCAATCGACCTGATTTTAAAATGGCTGTAAATAATTCTTAGGTGCGTGCGAAGGTTAGGTTAGGTTGAAATTAGGTTCCAATTAACTTTGACGAAAGCTTTTTTCTGATCTATGAATTTCAAGTACATCACTTTATTCATATCAATCAGTTTTTCGATGAACACTTGCAAACCCAGAATTTATTGTCATGTATCTTTTTGTCTTCTAAATCCATATTGATAATTTTTTAAGTATTTGTCATCTATCATCAATTGATAATTTGTCGATCAAGTTTTTCGACGTTCTTTCTTTTAATTTTTTGTTAGCAAAGCATGTGCGACATTTTTCATCGTTTATTTTATGTTCTCCCATTTTTCATTCAAGAAATATTCTTCGTTTCGACGTATAAATAAATAATTACTACGCTTATGAAAATTCATAACAATATATGTACACGTACAACAGTAATTGTGGACAGTATCGAATATTATATCCACTATCAGAGATTACATATCTAAGATTACCTTGAAGAATCCCATCATATTCCAAGATTTATGACAGCTCAAGCCTCAAAATCAAATGCTCGGAACTCATAATAAATCTTATCTCAACTTGTTCAACTCTCAAATTAAAAAATATCATACTGTCCATTAAACTATCATTTGCTTTTCATTTATTAGGTTTAGAATTTTAAATTTCGAAATAGAATAAGCCACACTATAAAATACACTATGACACTGAATGTATATGTTACGGGCAAAGTGGAAAATTCGGGCAATGTATACAATGCCCG